AAATGAGTAGCTCTCTGGAATAGGTTGGCTTTGGCAGGTCTGTGATGAATTGTGGTGATTATTAATTGACGTGGGAGACCCAGTCCACTGTGAGAATACCACTAGTTATGGGATCATGGATAGCGTTAGAAAGGCCACTAAGGAAATGTAATCAAAGTTGCATTTCTTTTTTCTCTCTTTGTTCTTTACTGTGGGTGGCTTGTGAGTAGACAGAGTTCTTGGCTGAGGATGGAATTTCACTAAGTAGTTTCTACTTGTGACTGTAAACTGTAAGCCAAATAAGCCTTTTCATTTTTAAATTAGTTTTGGTGAAGATATTTTGTCACCCAACAAAAACATAGACACAAACAAAGAACACAAATTGATATCAAAAACATGGCACTTTTGCTGTTAGGAACCTGATTGTGTTGATTTGGAGGAACACAGAGATTTTGGAACTTTGGGTTATAACAGCTATTGGAGTCTGTGAGCAAAGATTAATTAACTGTTTTTGTGAAAATTTTGAAGAAAAAATGAAAGTAAAAATACAGACCGTTAAAACTGACCTCATGACCTTTCAGATGGGAGCAAGAATTTTATAAGGTATTGATCACAAGATTTTCTCAGTGATAGTCTGACTAAAGTTCTCTTGTGTGATGAACAGATCAGGCCTGAAGATACAGATGTGACTGGAAAATAGAACACAGCCACCAAAATGAGACATTTTATGCTTCATTGCATCAATTTCAAAAGAGATAGTCTGGGTCAGCACACAGAAACTGATATGGCTATGGTCCAATGGGGCCAGGTTACATTTCAAACTTTCAGCAGAACTTGACAATGTAAGAGTATTCCAAAGGGTCCTAGTTTTTAAGGAATTAAAGTGTTACAGAGAGTAGCAGAAGCCAATCACTGTGTGTTAGTGTTGGAGTCCCTACTGAGTCACTGAGAGGCCATTGCTGAATGTGAAGTCTCTGTTGAAATGAGGGTAAAAGGATATTGGAGATGTCAGTACCACAGGTTTGGAATTAAGCTAGGCTAAAAAAAGAAACTGTGTCCACTTCAGATAGAAAAACTGGAGAGGAGAGGCTGTACAAGCCCTCTAGGAGCGAAGAGTGCATTATTAGTGTGTTCCAGACACCCTAGAAATCTCATGGGAAGAGATAGTAAATTAGGGATTATCTATATTGGGTTGGTCACTCCAGGTTTCTGTTAGTTGATGTGGAAAGACCCAACTCTGTGTGGGCTACACAATTCTCTAGGCAGGGGTTTCTAAATAGTTCAAGAGTGAAGAAATCAAGTTGAGCACACTCAAACAAATGTATGCTTCATTTCTGTTCTGTGTTGTAGATATATTCTGATTAGTGATTTGAAGACCCTGTATTAAATTGTAAAGTAAAATAAACTGTCTTTTTTTCCTTAGAGTTTTTCTTGAGGTGGGAGGAGGAGTCAGGGTATTTTATCATATCAACTTAAATGAAAGTAGGGTACCCATATCACTGGAAGTTTTGCTGGATTGATCTTGTGCAGGTAACCACAGCTTCTGAGAATTGGTAGAGCAGACATATCATGTCCAAGAGAAGCACATCAAAGTCCTCCAACTCATACCTCAGCCTTCACATTCATTCCACCCCTTTTCATTTTGTTCATTTTCTTTTGGATGTAAAGCTGACAAAATAGCCCTACTTAGGACACAATAGTCAAAGTATCACATTCTTAGCAATTTGACCAGTTATAAGTCTCAGAATAGACTACTACACCCTTCAAAAAAGAAATGTTTTTGATAAAAGTTGAGAATAGACCAGATCTATAAGTATAATCATAAATGCTTAGAAGAAAAATGAAAACATTACCATTGAACAAATATATAAATGTGGTGATATTTTGCCTGTATTCTAACAAATAAAGCTTACCTGAAGGTCAGAGGGTGAAACTAGCCACTAGTTAACCTTGAATTTTGGAGTTCTGTACAGACAGATAGGAAGTGATATGGCTGGGCAGAGTGAGGAATATAAGGAGGGAGGAGACAGGAGTTCAGCCTCTTTTTTGGCTGAGGAGTTAGCAAGGTAAAAGTTGGCTGTGGGTTGCTCATTCTCTCTCTGATCTTTCAGCATTTACCCCAATACCTGGTTCCAGGTTTTTATTAGTAAAACTAATTAGAGCTTGTGCAACAGTTCTAAAAATTTCCCTCCCAAAATTTAAGTAGTTACCTCATCAAGATCTGTGAAATAACCAGCCATGGAGTTTTGAATATGTTTACATTATCAAAAAAGAATTTTTCCTATGTCGGGGAGGGGGTGGGAACTAAACACCATTCAGACAGCAGTATGTCAACCACTAACAGTCAGGCCACTGTTGCATCTTTTGGCACATCTTTCTTGGCAGGTGCGTTCTGTTGCAAGCAGTCTTCAGAGTTGGGTAAAACCATTGATTTATTTTCTCTCTATGTAATCAGTGTATACCTTCCATCATTGTGATAGCTAGTGAGCAAGGGGGGAAGTTCCCAGTCAATTTGAGATTCATGTTTATATGTCTTATGGTGAAAGAGTGAGGTATCTCCAGAAATATGATCTTATCATGAATATTGTTTAAATAAGAATTTTCTGGGACTGAGGTTTAGAACCACAACATCAATGACAGTGTTAGTTTGCTTCCACTTGCTGTGAGAAAACACTGATAAAAGATCAGCTTGTGGAAGACAGGCGTTTTTGTAGCCTAAAATTCCACATCACAGTACTTTATTAAGGCAAAACAAGGCAGGAACAAAGGCAGAAACCATGGAGAAATATTGCTGACTGGCTTCTCTCTGTTGCTTGATCATCTTGCTTTCTTAAACAACCCAGGAACAAGTACGTACAACTGGCATCAACCACAGGGGGACTGACTCACCCAGAACAATCATTGATAAAGAAAATTCATCCAAGATATATGTACAGGCCAATTTGACCAATTGATAGCTACAATCCCTCAGTTGAGATTTTCACTCTTCAGGTAACTCTAGTTTGTAGCTAGTTGACAAAAAACAACTTGCAAAGTTCCATTACTAAAACTTTGTGGGGTAACATGCCCAAGGAATTTGAAACTTTTGAAGTTTGTTCTAGTATAGGGAATATCATATGCTGAAAATTTTGCAATTCGAGTCTTATTATTCACGTAAATGTGATATTTCTTTGTAGGCAAATTCTTCAATACATGTGGTATTGGTATGTTTCAAAATTATCATGACCCTAAAAACATAATATTTCTTTGGAAATTCTAAAATAAAATCTTTTTGGTAATGCTATTAAAATTTAAGAGTCTTTAGAATGATTTACTAATTTTCAGCTTTTAAATGAATGTTGAGTAAATAACATAGTATTCTATAAATAAAAAGTACATTAGTGTAAGACAAACAGGAAGGTGATTATAAAAATATCAATTAATTAATCAAAGAAGCAATGATTATAAAATTAAGTAAAATATTTATAGTTAAAATTATTCTAGAACTTTATTAATAAGTCCTTATGAAGGAAGCACATAGCACATCTAAATAAACCAATTATTTCCATTAGTAGCAGAACTTGTTTTGATTTGTTTAGTTAAACACCAGTGTATATAATTTGTATACAACTTGAAGAAATGTGAATAAGTCAGGTTCCGATGTCCTCTATCAAAAAGAAATGTAGTGTTAAAAAACAAGAAAGCAGTTTGGAACTTAATGAGAATTCAATATATTTTCAGGCAGATTTATTTTATTAGTGATGCCTATAAATACAATAGCTCAATTAGAATTATTTCAATCTGTGTTTTCATGGACATATACACACACATAAACCTTAAAACATAATTTAATTAGACTAATTTAATTTGTATGTGCATGTTTTGAATATTTCATGGTCTTAATTGAAGGTTAAAATGTTCAAACTTCCTTTGGGTTAAGGGTTTCAAAATAATCAATTTTTTCAATCTGTGGTCAGTTATATTATTATCATGTTTTAAGTTGCTTGATATTTAGATGTCCATAGTTTAATTCTGTTTCATCTCTTGCTAATTTAAACCATTTTTCCTTTTATTGAAAATTGATTTTTTTTCACATAATACAGATCCACTTTACATTTCTTTCTTATCATTTCTGGATTGTCACCCTTTCTGTTTCTCATTAGAAAATCATCCGCCTTATAAAAGATAATGATAAAAATAATAAAATGAATTAGAATAATATAAAACTTAACACACTGAAATTGGAAAGGAACAAACAAAAGATAAAGAGCACAAGGAAGGCAAAAGAAGCAGAGACCACTTCTTTGCACACCGATGCCCATAAAAACACTAAACAGTGAGCTATAAAGTTTAGGCACAGGACACAGGGCAGATCCATGGAGAACCTATGCAAGCAGAACAGTCTCTGTAAATTTATATGATCTTTGATCATATTGATTAGATAGCCTTGTATTTTTGGTTTCATTCATCCGCTTTTGACTCTTGCACTATTTCTGCCTCCTCTTCCATAGAGCTTCCTGAGCCCTAAGAAGAGGGACTTAATGGAGACACCCCATTTAGAGTTGAGCATTGCTAGGTTTCTCATTCTCTAAATATTGTCTAAGTGTGGATCTCTGTATTTGTGTCTTTGATGATGGTCAAGCAAGGCAATAATATATGAACATAGCAAATGTCTTTGGGAAACATTTTTTTTTTTTTTGCTACTCCCCCACTCCGCTCCAACCAGAACAGTAGTATTTGGTTTTACTCTAAGTCCCTAGACTAGCTAGTCTCAGATTGTCACTAAAGTATCATTGGGTATAGATTCTATCTTCTGAAGTGTATAAAGGTAAAATAAGGTATTAGTTGGTTACTCCAACAGAATTTGTGCAACAATTTCACTATTATATCTTGCAGGAAGGTCAGCATTGTACAGACAGAGTTTTGTGGTTGGGTTGGTGTCTGTTTAACTTTGTCTTTTGGAATCCTACATACTATTTTTCTGTAACAGACACTAGACTGTGGGAATTACGGCATATAGTAGGTACTGGCTGAATGCCTCCATGTTCGGTAAGTTGTATGAATGTTGTTTCAGCAATAGGGCCTTGCTGTCAGTTTGTGAAAAACAATTGATTTCTTGGCAACATCTTTGGCTGTCTGGGGATTTCCATGGGAAACTTTTGTTCAATAACTCAATAATATTTAACCCAATCAATCTAATGACAAGAGATGGTCAGTTGGGACTCTCCGCCTTATTTTTTGACACTTTCATTTAGATTAATATGTATATTGATATCTTCCTGCCTATCTATCTATCTATCTATCTATCTATCTATCTATCTATCTATCTATCTATCTATCCATCTATCTATCCATCTATCCATCTATCATCTATCTATTAAAATTTTAATCTTCAATTGCCTCTTAATTTTATCTGTCATGCTTATTATTTCCTCCCTTGAATCCTTTTTTTCCTTCTTCTCCTAATCTGATCCTTCTGTTCTAGTTCCCTACCCATCCAAAACTATTCTATTTCTGTTTTCTAACTCTGTCTGACTTCCCTAATCCTATACTTCATACCTAAACTCTGCATTCTTTCATTTTCATATTGTTATTATTGACTTAAATTCTAATATCCACAAATAAGAAATACATACCATATTTATTTCTCTATCTGTGCTGAGCAAGTGTCCTTGTGATAGTATGAGGCATCTTTCTGGTATATGCTCAAGATTAGTAATGTTAGATCTAGAGGTACATCAATTCCCATATTTCTGAGGAACAACCACACTGATTTCAATAGTTACTATTCGAGTTTACACTCCCATCACCAATAGATGGGTATTTCCCCTTATTCCACATCTTTCCCAATGAGAGCTGTCACTTGTTTAATTGATTGTGGCCATTCACACACCTGGGGTTGAAATATCAATGTGATTTTGATCTGCACTTCCCTCATGACTAAGATGTTGCACATATCTTCAAGGACTTCCCAGTCACTTCAGCTTCCTCTTTTGAGAATTCTCTATTTCTACTTGCACCACAGTTGAGTTTCTAAATCAGGCTATTTGTTTTCTTGATACCCAGGACTTTGTTGTTGTTTCTATATTTTGGAAATTTATGTTCTACAAATGTGTTGTTAGTTATTTTTTTCTGTTCCCTAAATTTCTATTTTTCTGTTTCATAAAGGAAAGAAAACAAAACTTCCCAACTTAATTCAGATCATTTTAAAAGCAAAATACAAATGTATTCCGATTGTAACAGATGCCAGACAAACAAACAAACACAAAAAAAGTAAATGAAACAGAATATTTAGAAATGAGGACTGTGTTCTCATGAAAGTGATCATATATTTTGTAGGCCTTTGAAACTGTTGGATGTCAGCAACAAAGTACAGTTATAAGGTAGACAAATCCTGGATCCTTAAGAAGTTTAGAGATGCTCATTGGTTAAGACTACTTGCTGCTATTTCAGGAGAACTTAGTTCTTTTCCTACTGTCTGTATCTCAAGTATCCTTCTACCCTCCACAGGCATATGCACACATGTAACACACACACACATACACACACACACACACACACACACACACTTATACAGACACACAAACAAACAAAAAAGAATAAATTTAAAAATAATTTTAAATAAGAATTCCATTAAAGCAACTTAATATCATGTGGTCAGGGAAGAACAATGGCCCAAAAAATGTTGACACTGTAAATATATTAATTTTGCTTTCAAAATTTGGAACCCATGAAAAAATGTTGCTTACTGAATTATGTCTCTTTTTCAGCCTACTCTCTGATACATCTCAGGACTATCTGCTCTTTGTTGAAACCACCCATAATTGGTTGGATCTTCCCACATCAATCATTAATCAAAAAAATGATTCATGGGCCTTCCCACAAGTCTGTTTGGTGGGGGAAATTTCTTAACAGGATTCCCTTTTTCCAAATGACTTTATGTTGTTTTAAGAGGATAAAAAAGCTCTTGCCAACCCTAAAATGGCTCCCTTAATTAAGATATCTTCTTCCCTGCTCCCATATCCACCCTTCCTCCATCCCACTCATCCCATTCCCTCAGGGTCTCCCCACCCTCCCCTCCTCACTTTTCTCTCCCCATGTCCCCTTACCCCTACCCCACTCCACCCCCAAACTCCCAATTTTTGCCTGGCAATCTAGTCTACTTCCAGTATCCACGAGGATAAGTATATGTTTTTCTTTAGGTTCACCTTCTTATTTAGCTTCTCTAGGACCATGAATTATAGGCTCATTGACCTTTATTTATGGCTAGAATCTACTTATGAGTGAGTACATACCATATTCATCTTTTTGGGTCTGGGTTACCTCACTCAGAATAGTGTTTTCTCTTTCAAGCCATTTGCATGCAAAATTCAAGAAGTCATTGCTTTTTACCGCTGAGTAGTACTCTAATGTATATATGTTCACACCTTCTTTAACCATTCTTCTATTGAGGGGCACCTAGTTTGTTTCCAGGTTCTGGCTATTACAAATAGTGCTGTTTTGAACACAGTTGAACAAATGCTTTTGTAGTATGCTTGGGCATCTCTTGGTTATATTCCCAAGATTGGTATTGCTGGATCCTGGGGTAGGTTGATCCCGAATTTCCTGAGAAACCGCCACACTGATTTCCAAAGTGGTTGCACAAGTTTGGATTCCCACCAGCAATGGATGAGTGTTCCCTTTACTCTACATCTGCTCCAGCAAAGGCTATCATTGGTGTTTTTGATTTTAGCCATTCTGACAGGTGTAAGATGGTATCTCAGAGTTGTTTTGATTTGCATTTCCCTGATTGCTAAGATACTTGACTCTAGAGGGGTTTCCAGGTGTCCATGGAGATGTCCCCAGCTAGTTCCTTGGGCAGCTGAGGAGAGCAAGCCTGAAGTGGCCCTATCCTATAGCCACACTGATGAATAGCTGGCATGTCACCATAGAAGCTTCATCTGGCAATGGATGGAGATAGAAACAGAGAGACACATTGGACCACTGAACTGAACTCCCAAGGCCCAAATGAGGAGCAAAAGGAGGGAGAATATGAGCAAGGAAGTCAGGACCATGAGGGGTGCGCTCACCCACTGAGACGTGGGGCTGATCTAATGGGAGCTCACCAAGGCCAGCTGGACTGGGACTGAAAAAGCATGGGATCAAACTGCACTCTCTGAACGTGGCAGACAATGAGGGCCGACTGAGAAGCCAAGGACAAAGGCACTGGGTGTTGGTCCTACTGCATGTACTGGCTTTGTGGGATCCTAGTCTGTTTTGTTGTGCACCTTCCTGGACCTGGATGGAGCGGGGAGGACCTTGGACTTCCCACAGGGCAGGGAACCCTGACTGCTCTTTGGACTGGAGAGGGAGGGAGAGGGGAGTGGGGGGGAAGGGGAGACAAATGGGAGGTAGGGAGGTGGAGGAATTTTTTTAATAATAAAAATAAATAAATAAAAAAAGAGGATTAAAAAATACTAATCAGCAAAAACAACAATTCTAATTCTTGGAATATGGAGACATGAGGTTGAAACCCAGTATATGCAATTTAATGATTTTGCATGTAGCCTAGACTACATGAGACATTGTCTCAGAAAATAAAAGAGATAGAGACAGAGCGAGAGATGGAAGGCAAGCTTAAAGTCACCAAAAATTGCAGCTAAAGAAAAATTATAAATTATAATAGCATTGCAAGATACAAGATTATCATATAAAATTCATTAATTTTAAATATATTAGTAAATAACACATGGAATTCAACCTTACATTTACTAACACTATTAAATATTTAAAACTTTACATAAATAGTTTAATATAAAAATACTGCTATTAGTGTAAAACTGTGCAAAAGTAACAAAATGAAGCATGCCGACATTTTTTGTTTTGTTTTGTTTTGTTTTTTCGAGACAAGGTTTCTCTGTTGCTTTGGAACCTGTCCTGGAACTAGCTCTTGTAGACCAGGCTTGTCTCGAACTTACAGAAATACACTTGCCTCTACCTCCTGAGTGCTAGGATTAAAGGTGTGTGGCACCACTGCCCGGCCAGTATGCCTGCATTAAAGAATTTTGGACATTCATTATTAAAAGTCTAAGGAAAGCCTTTCTACTCAGCTATCTCTCCTGATGCCCCTATATGAAAGTAAAATGATGTTGCTGTTTTGTAGTTAGTTATCAGTTAGCAAGTTCATAAGTGTATGTGGAAATACAATAAAAAAGAACAAAAATCAGACAAAGAAAACTGAGGAAATCATAAGATACAATTTGATATCTTAATTTTTAAATCAAATAGAATAAAATTGTATACACTGGGACATGTTCACAGAGTTACACAGAAAAGAAAAAAAATATCTTAGAAATGTAAAAACACAAATGTTATATCCAGTAGAATTTAGTTCCTGCAACCATGACTGACTAGAGGCAGCAAAGGAATGAAGAAAGTATAAACACATCTATACTAAAAATAGGATCATGTGGAGTTCTGCTGCCCATACAACCTGCAATCTGTGCATGAAGTATGTGTAAGATAGCAGTACCAGGCTTTACATATCTAGGAGAAGGAAGCTCAGTTGCTATTCTACACTCATTCCATCAGTCACTTCCTAATTCTCCTGCCTACACTCTAGAGGAAAGCTTTGCCATCACTTCTGAGTCTGGCCCACATTGATAATCGCTTTGCCAGTATCCCTTGGGCTTGTACTTTGAACTCCCAGACATGGCTATGACCATATCAATAATACACATTCACTCTGGATATCAATCACTTAGACCTTCATCTGCTTCCTACATCTCTCCCTTCTTATTACTTAGGTGTTCATGATGAGTTCTCTTGCTTAGGCTGGGTACAGTCTGATACAACACTTGAAACCAGAATGTAAAGACAATTAAAAAGAAAATCATAACAGCTATGTGCATAGCAAACCAATGGAAATGTTTTAACAAGAAAGGAATTAAAGCCTTGAAGCCAATTGAGGATCATTTCAGAAAATTAGGAGAAGAAACAAAACTTTTGTAATTTTTAAGATGTAATGACATAATTTGGTCTTTTGCTTCATATCACATTATGGTTCCAAA